TAAGAGAAATAAAATTACAAAAGTTCAGCTTACTCATTCTTGCTGGGCACAAAACAGTCCTAGCAGCAGAGGACCAAGGTATGCCCAGAGAATAAGATCCCTTCCTGGAAGGAGGTGCATGTAAATTTTTTTACGTATATTTGTTACAGAAGATCAAAAAATATATCCTTCAATATGGATTGCATCACAATGTCAAGAAAACAAAAATCTCACCAGTGGACAGATAGTTGACTCAATGGCCCCTAACAACAACATGTCACCAGGGCCCTGCATAAACTAATAAGATAATTTAAAAGTTATTTAGGAAATAACTAAGAAAAGTTTAAGAGCTTTGAGGCAGGAACATAGTTATACTTTGTTAGATATTTAAGGATTCATAAGGAATACAGTTCTACTCTGACACACATGAGTCGGGTCAGAATCAAATCCCTGATAAATGGTAGACGGGTATAACAAATGTTTCTATTGCTACAGCACTTCTCTGCTCATTACAAAAAATGGAAGAGAAAGAAATAATTGACATGAAATGTCCAAAGAGACTCTAAAGACTACACTGGAGCGCAGAGCTGAAGAGAATATTTCAAAGGACATCTCGGGAAGACAAAGCCAAGTATTAGAATGGAATGTGCAGAAAGCTGGAATTGGAGAATAAAAAAGGAAGAAGTCGCACTACATTTCTCAAGCTGAAAGAACTGAAAAACAAATTTAAGCATCAATTCGCAATACTGAAAGGTGCTGTCAGCAATATATTGAATGAACCAGAAACCATCAAAAGATGAGGGAGGGGCGAGCTCTGGTGGCCCAGTGGCAAGAAGCTGCACTGCAATCCCAGAGGTGTGCGGTTCGAATCCACCAGATCCTATGCTGAAGAAGGAGGAACAGTCTCCTCTTGTACCAGTAAGACCTGATTTGACAGTACACACATTTAAAAAAAAAAAAAGATGATGGAGGGAGTACACAGACTGACTTGACACGGAACAATTTAAGGAAGTACCGTATGAACAGGAGTCAATGATAATGAAGGAGAAAGTAGAAGCAATAGGATCAGAAAATGCTTACTTAGATTTTATACCTTCAATGGGACCAAAAGATGATAAGCTAAGAAAGCAGATCAATGAGAGATCAGAATTGAAATAGTAACAATGATCTCATCATAACATTACATATTTCTCGGTTGAAACAATCTGAACTGGGGTAAAGACTTAGATAGACTAGCCAGCACAATTTAATACCATAGCCACTAGCTCTATGTGGCTATGTAACATAGTTAAAATTAAATAAAACTTAGTTTAGTTCCTTGATCAAGCACCTCTAAATGCTCAGTAATCAAAAGAAACCTTTGACAATAATATAAAACATTCTCAACAATGCAGAAAGTTCTGCTGGACAGCATTAGACTCTTGTAGATATTAACAATAGTGGTAGAAAATAAATTGGTGAGCAAATTAATTGGGGTGGGGGGGGAAGCCAAACAAGCAGCAATGGACCTTTTAAAGAACTGGATAGAGAAAAAAAAAACTAACAAAATAAAATTGCAGAAAAACTAGAAGCTGGGTAAGGAAGAAATTTGTTGGAAAAGGAAAACAAAAATATTTTCCACTAACAGAGAGCAATAAAAAAGTGGGTAAACTACACTCTGCCAACATGCAGCTGAAAACATGCAAAACCCAGAAAAAGAAGACTGTCCCACCAAGTCCTGGCTCTTGTTGGTTTTCTCTGTAATAGCTAACGTTTACTAAGCACTGAACCACAAATTAGGTACTATTTTAAGTATTTCACATGTACCAATTTAATTACTTCTCAGAAAAACTCTGTATTTGCTATCATTTTCTCCATTTTCAGACGGGAAAACTAAGGCTCAGAGTGGTTAAATCTCCCAAGATCCAGAATTTAAATTCTAGCAATTTTATATTGATTACAGAGACTGTTTTTAACCATTATTATTATGTATTGACTGCAAGTGTCCATTTTATCTCATTTAGAAATATACTCCCCCCCCAAAAAAAAGAAATATACTCCCCTCACTAAAAGAGCAAAATAATTAAGATGAGAAAAGTCAGTTCTAGCTTTGTAATCTTATATAATAACTCTCCCATACAAAAGCAAAGTGTGCAGCTCAAGGTTATAATTTCATTTTTATTTTCAGTCACTGATTTAATTATGATTCTTCATGAAGTACGAAATTTAAATAACCACATGAAGGCAAAGCCTTTCTTCTGATAAATTACCAATTTGGCAATAGGAAATAACTGTTCTAATGAACACTAAAAGTAAAACAATATGAGAGACAGAAGAAGCTGCTTTATTAAAAGCAGGAAACAACATCTCAGTGGATAAAAAAATATCTAAAGCATAGCTAAACATCAGCAAGATAGATTAAGTACAATACATCTGGACTCTTTTCTTTTTAGCTGTCAACGCTCCTCTAAACAACCCTCCAATAATGCTTCCAAGTCACCCTGGTCCCCAGAAAGAGTGAAAAGCCATTACCTAAGGATGTTGGGATGAGAGAGTCTATTCATAAGCTGTACCTCCTTGAGCATGTTTGCCCGATTACTGCTCAATGTGTTCATTTTAAGAGCCATCACCTGACCAGAAGCTCGGTGGCGAACCTAGAAAACAAAACAGAACAAGAAAACAGGCTCAGGGATGGCAGTTATATATTGGTCAAGTCTCCAATCAGTCTCCATTTAAAACATGCCCAGATGCTTTTATGCCAGTTTAGAAAAAAACAAATGGTAGTGAATGTTTGTTTTTTTTAAACATTGATTACATTAGGTTCCCACTTCTATTCCTGGAGACAGGTATTTCACTGAAGACAAAAACTGTTTCACACTTAGTTGATCAGAAAAGAAAAACATTGTTAATGAATACTTCACAAAATCATATCTTTCTCCTGTATTAGGAAAAACAAAGTGGTAGAAATTTTCAGGCTGGTTCCTATAATCAATACTTAGGAAACAAACAAACAAAAATGTTGCACATACAAAGATGTAAGCAAAGTCATAAAATACTTACTACAAAACTATTTTTATAAGACACCAAATCCATTATCCTCAAAACCTCTCCCAAGCACCATAAAAAATATACATATAATTTGGATTGATACTATCAATGACTTGAGCATGGCAGAGATCTTGAGAACAGTTCAAGATAGGGCAAGATTTGAATCTACTGTTCACAGGATCACTATGAGTCAGGTCAATGGCACCTAACAATAAGTCTCTTCCAATAAAGATTTATAGTCTCAGAAACCCAATGGAGGGTCAGTATGAGTTCAAATCAACACAAGAGCAGTGAGTGTGAGTGATAAAGGGTAAAGTACTGCATGTTAAATATACAAAGTCGCTGTTGTTGTTTACCATCAAATCGGAATCAACCCATAGCTAACCCTCCAGCGGGTCTTCAGAGGCAGATAATCTCACAGGAGGAAATTGCCCATTCTTCTCCCATGGAGCAGCTAGTGGACTTAACCGAATGTCTTCAGGATTGCAGCACAGCTTCTTGCCACTAGGCCACCAGAGCCCAAAAGAGAAAGGCATTTGTTGCTGTTGCTGATTGCCATAGAGTTGACCACGACTCATAGTGACACTATGAACAAAAGACTTAATGCCTTTCCATAACTATCATCATTTCTCCAAGTTCATAGAGTTTCCAGAGGCATGTGGTTTAGGATGTGGATGCCACTCCTGCTTCCAAACGTGTTTTACAACTGGGTGCTCCACCAAACACTGTCCATATTGAGAAACCATTGTGGTATTTGATACTCCAATGGTACAAGATTCAGCATCACAGCAAACCCAGGCTGCTTCATACTGCACATTGACAGAGTGGTATACAAAGTGGAAGAGTGTTCCTCCAGATATAACAGCACTAGTTTCATTTAGCAGTGGTTAAGTGCCATCAAGCCAAATGAATACAACTGAGACTAGGTTTTGCACAAAAGACCTGAACTCGGTTCTATAACTAGCATAATTTCTGTAGAGAACTCTGTTCTATAATTAACATCATTTCTGTACATTTATAGAGTTTAGAGACTTTGTAGAGTTTCCAGAGGCATCTAGTTTAGGAAGTAAATTCCACTACTGCTTCCCAGCATAAGTCAATCTGGATGCTGCCTTGTTCTATATCCACTAAGAAAGACAGAAGAATTGACTGTCAAAAAAAACCAAACAAATTCATGTTGGAAGAGATACAGTGAAAATGCCCTTAGATGTGAGGATGGTCAGACTCCATCTTCCATATTTGGGGCATGATATTAGGAGGAGTCAGACCCTGGAGAAAGAGATCATGCTTGGCAAAGTAGAGAAAAACTCACCCAGATGGACTGACATAGTGGCTCAAAGAATAGGCTCCGGCACAGCAATGACTATGAGAATAGCACAGTATCTGGTTAATGTTTTTTCTGTTGTATAAAAAGCTGATGAGCTGAAGCTGACTCAATCGTACTTAACAAAAGTAATAAAATAAGAGTACTGGAGAATATAGTTAGTTCCCTCACCCAAGATGTCCTTGGAAGGCATAAACCATTACTAGAGAAACGGACATATTTTAACTAAGAGATGTAGCCCTGATTGCGCACACCACTTTATGCCAGGAAATCTGGAGGATGGATGCCTAGATGGGTGACTGAAAGAGATTCATATTTATTCCCATTCTCAAGAAGGTGATCCAACAGAATGTGGAAGCCATCAAACAATATAATTAACATCACATGCAAGCAAAATACTGCTTAAGATCACTCAAAATTGGCTAGAACAGTATATAGTGAGCTACCAGATGTCCAAGCTGGATTTAGATGAGGCCATGGCAACAAGGATATCACTGCTGATGTCAGATGGATCCTGCCTGAAAGTAAAGAATACCAGATGAATGTCTATGGTGCTTTATTGACTACACAAAGGCATTTGACTGTGTAGATTATAACAAATTACGGCCAAGATTGAGAAGAATGGAAATCTCAGAACACCTAATGGTGTTCATGAGACAGCTAGAGGCTGGTTTCCAAAAGGCTGTTGTGCAAACATTACAAGGGAACAATGTTGTTATTGTGTTGTTATGTGCTGTCAAGTCACCTACAACTCATAGCAACCCTATGTACATACAGTACCTCTGAAGCCTGCCCTGTCCTGAGCCAATCTCACTGACTCTGACACACCTACTTCTATCCCCCCGTTACTGTCTCAATCCTTCTCATCTGGGGTCCTCCTCTCCTGCACTGTTCCTTCACCCTTCCAAGCATGATGTACTTCTTCAAGGACCAGTCTTCTGGCCATGTGCCCAAAGTATGTGAAATGGAGCTTCAAAATTCCAGCCTCCATGGAGAAACTTGGTTTCATCCTCTCCAAGACAGACCTATTTGTTTTCTTGGTGGTCCATAGTATGTTCAAGACTTTTCAAGTACTACAACTCAAAGGCATCAATTCTTCTTCTGTTCTCTTTAGTCACTATGCAGCTCTCTGATGCACAGTAAGTAAATGCGAAGATTAGGTCTCTAGACTGACACCATCACTTCTCAGCTATCTGGACAGGTCCCTGACAGCAGATTTTCCCAATGCACTTCATCTTCCAATTCTCTGTCTGCTGGTGCCAAGAGTGTTGGTTATGAAGCCAAGCAAGCTGAAATTGTTTATGACCTCAATCTGTTCTCCATCTATCATGGTGCTGCCAACTGGCCAAGTGGTGAGAATCTTTGTCCTTTGGATGCTGAGCTTCAGTACATATTGAAAGGGAACACCACATGGTTTAAAATTAAGAAAGGTGTAAGTTAGGATTGTATCCTTTTTCCATACTTACTCAATCTGTAAGCTGAGCAAATTATTTGAGAAGCTGATCTCTATAAAGAATGTACAAAAAAAAAGATAAAATCACAAATATAAAGTAATAATTATGTTAAAAATAAAAAGAAATATGTAGCATCAGGATCTGAGTAAGACTTATCAGCAACCGTATTATGCAGCTTTCACAACTTTGCTTGCTGAAAGTGAGAACTTGAAGTACTTGCTGTAGAAGATCAAAGAATACAGCCTTCAATATAGAATGCATCACAATGTCAAGAAAACAAAAATTTTCACCACTGGATTGATAGGTTACATCATGATAGATGGAGAAAAGATTGAAACTATCAACTGCTTCAATTTACTCGGATCCAAACGCAATACACTTAGTACCAGCAGTCTGGAGATTAGGAGACATACTGCACTGGGGAAATATGCAGTCAGGGACCTCTCCAAATTATTAAGGAGCAATGAGGTCAGTTTGAGAACTAAAGTGTGTCTCACTCCATAGTCTTTCTGATCACATGGTCACTTCCAATCACCAGCATCTGAGAGCTGGACAATAAAAAAGGATGACTGAAGAAAAACTGATGCCATTGAGCTGTGGTGTTGACACAGTAAATGCAGCAATGGGCTTGAGTGTGTCAGAGATTGTGAGGATGGCTCAGGATAGAGGAGGGTTCAAATCTTTTGTTTATAAGGTTTCTCTGAGTTGTAGATGACTCAACACCAATATTAGTGAAAAAGTTGTCAGTTTGAACCTAAGCCAGAAGCACCCCTGGAAATAAGTTTCATAATCTATCTCCAAAAGGTCGCACAAAGCCTTGAAAACCGTATGGTGCTGATCTACTCCATACACATGAGGTTATTCTCACCATGAATAGGAATCAGTTTGACTCTACAGTAACAACAACAATGGAAAAGCAGTTCAATCCTGGTAGCTTAGTGGTAAGGAACTGTGCTACCAATGCAAAGTTATGAGGTTCGAATTCATCAAGTGCTCCACAGAAGACAGATGAGCAATCTCCTCTCAGGCTATTTATTGCCTCTGAAAACCTGCTGGAGTGTCAGCTATGGATCAGTTCTGAATCGATGGTACACATTAACAACAATGAGGAATTAAAGATGAACCATTAGAAAAATTAACAGCAAAAACTTCAACTGTAAAAAAAAAAAAATCTGTTCAGATCTTGCACAACACAGGCCTGCTATACAAAAATTTATCTTTCCAGTATATTATATTTGACCACATGGAAATCCCAGTAGAAAATCTGGTAACTGACTTAACTCTTCAACTTCTATATTGCCGTTAAGTGCCATCAAGTTGACTATAACTCCAGGGACCCTATGAACAACAGATCTGAACCCTACACTATCCTATACCATTCTTATAATTTCTAATACATCTACTGATATAGTCACTGTGTCTATCCATCTTATTGAGGGTCTTCTTCTCTTTCACTGGCCCTCCACGTTTCCAAGGATGATGTCTTTTCCAAGAATTTGCCCCTCTTAACAACATGTCCACAGTATATGAGATTGAGATGAAGTTTCACCATCCTTGCCTCTAAGAAGCACCCTGATTGTACTTTCTCCAGGACATATTTGTTTTTTTGGCTGTCCATGGGATGTTTGCTATTCTTCTCGAACACTATACTCACCTTCTATAAACTCCTTCAAATGACAATAGCATCAGAAACTTAGCATATCTATTAATATAGGATATCATAGTTCATCCTAGAATTCAAAGAAAAGGTTTCAGAGTGACTGCGGGAGGCTGGCTGGGTGGAGCAAGCAAAACACTCAGAACCACAGGAGTCCTGATCAGAAAAACT